TGACTCCCACTGAGAATGGTTGTTCATCATCATCATCACCATCATAGGCCTAATAATAAAGATCAATTTATAACGCCATTCTGGTGGCTGAACGTGCGTCACAATAAAAGGTGGAACACGTACACACTGTAGATCTGCTCAAGTTCAGAATACGTAAACTCCCTTTAGAAAATGGGCAAGGGGTTGAACACATCTGCTTAAAAACGTTGCAAAATCAAGGACCACAGGTTGAAAAGTAGGCTACTGGAAGCATTAGAATAAATAATTATGCTTCCATATACTGCCAGAACTTATAGTTTATAACTGTAGAGAGCATGCAATATATTGTAGGCTATAAAATGGGGTCGTTTTCGAGACACATTCACTCGTCGAGAGTATAACAATTTCTTGGACATTTATAAATCCCTGTCGTCATCGGTGTACGCTAAACTAAGTCTATTTGACAGTCAGGGTTTTTTTCGATACCGGTACCAGCACTGAGAAAAATCAAAGCTTTCTGAAACTGAAAATCAGACTTTCTGAAACTTTTGTTGTTGTTGTTGTTGTTGTCGTTTTTGTTGCTGCTGCTGTTGTTGCTGTTACTGTATTGCTGTTGTTCCTTTTGGTGAAAGGGTGCTGATTTTTTTGTAATGGAACGTCATCAAATCAGAAAACTACAGCATAGGCTACATAATAAATAGTTTATTACCGTGTCTTACTTCTGTACCCTTCCACCCTGATTTTGTTGTTGTTGCTATTGCTTTCCCTCCCATCGAGAATGGTTGTTTCAACTGATGATTTGAGCAAAGAAATGCAATTTCCTGTGAAACATCTTTCATCCTTTTCGCTCCTATTTCTTTTTTCTGTGTGTTACTCTCTGACATCTCCTCTAATCTTCAGCACTTATATGACCTATTTGTTTTGCAAGCGCCGTAAAACTCTTATTGAAACTATAAACAGAAGAGCATAGTATAATATAGTATTTATCTCTAGATTTCTAGTAAATAAATAATTATGCCCAGAACGAAAGCTGAATGTACTGATTAATGTAGACTGTGACAACTACTATAGACCTAAATACACATATGTACATTTCATGTTAACAGTCTGTTTTGTAAACACAGTATACAGAAGTACAGCTCGCGTGTTCGTAAAAAAAACATTGCGAAACTTTCTCTATAGATTTTAGTTAGTGCTCCTGATAATGCAGCTAATGCTATCTTTTAATTCTCTGGTTCCACTGAGAGCATTTTTAGCGCAGATTATGACTATATACCTTGTTGCGAATAGCCAGACTCCACAGGTTTGGCACATGGAATTGACCAGATCTAAATATAGTATGGCTGTCAATTTCTAAATATAGCAGCCTATGGCCTTGTATATAAACACACGGAACTACACACGGAACAGCCACTGTTATTCTCAGTTGTACAGGACTCTTTGCCAACTGTAAAAAGGCTATAGTGTAGGGCCTAGATCTAGGCTTCTCTTTCTGTTGTGATTATTAACTTGGTGGAAGCGATTTGACTTGGTGGAAGTGATTTTACAGCTGTTTTTAAAACCCTGAACACTGAATAGGGCCTACTCACTATAACAGTGAAAATTTCAATTTTCGAAGCAGTTGAATCGTTATCTTGAGTCCAAAATGGGAAACTGCTCGCCAAGGAAAGCTGAGTCTGCGCCTCCGCAAATAATTGTCGTAGGTTTGTTGCTTTTTTTCTTTACCTTTTAGTTCTATTGTTATGTATTTTGCTATGCCAAATTTGTGTTTGCTATACTGACGTATAAATATAAATATAGATCTAGATCTAGATTAGATAGAACAAAATGAAATGAAGCAGTTGCTAACAAGATTTTATTAAGAAAGATTGGGGGGGGGGGGGGTGTAAGAGAGTCTGTTTTTTATAATGAGGTTTTGAATTCGATCTAGTTTCTAGGTCTTGATTGGAGGGAAACTAAGATGGGGTGCCCACTACGTATACAGATGGGATTGGCTGATCGCCCGACTCGGTCGCCTAAAAAACAAAAGTAAAAGTGTTTGTTTTCAGTTTATCAAGCAACTGAGTCGGGCGATCGGCCTGATCCAGCCGTAGTGGGCACCCCATAGTATAGTAAGATTATATTCACACAAAACTCAGACTCAAACTTAATCATGGACTGAACTATAAGTTTTATTCTATTTTTTTAGTAGAGTTTTTACGGTGATATATATATATATATATATATATATATATATATATATATATATATGGAGAGAGAGAGAGAGAGAGAGAGAGAGAGAGAGAGAGAGAGTCTATATTTATATATATAATGCATAAGCGCCAAGGGATGGATGTCAACAGAGATGTCCTTAAGGGAATCAGACTTACTCTGCTCATCTCCCCAGCTTCAACAGCACAATTAAATGTCTGCTTTTCTGACTATCAAGGCACCTCGGAAATGGCGGGTCATTTATTTTTATAAGAGATTGACAAAACAAGTAGAAGTAGAGGAAAAATGACGATAGTATAAGGATTTAGGAAAGAAAAAGCAGTAGTTCCACGTATGCAGTTCAGCCACAGTTATGAGCATGATATTGATGAATTCTACTGAGCATAAGAACATAAATTGATGTCCCCCTTAATTTGGAATGGCCTAATTAAGACTTTCAGTCTGTAGCACCGCCCCGCGGGGTGGTGGAAGGGAGTTACTGAAATATTTAATGTTTGCTCCTGCAGCATGGCCTAATAGGTCATTCTTTTAAAATTTAAAACAATGGTTACTATGGCAACTGGAGAAGCAGCACTACCAGCAGAATGCTAACAATAGGCCTACATATATTCACATCAATTGCCTCATCAAAAACATCCCCACCCCATAAATATTTATGGTGGTAAAAAATGTACGGATATTTTATACATATATATATATGTCCTTTTTTTTCCTTTTGTTTAAACTTATGTAGCCTAACTGTGGCACACATTTTATCAGTTTATTGATGGAACATGGGACAAGAAAAAAAATGAAAATTTAACATACACCCCCACACCCACTAACACAGGTACAGAGATTTGTCAGCTGCTGTCCAGTAATGAATATTACTGATGATTAGGCTATTTTAATTTATATGATATAATATTCAATCTCAGAATTGAGAAAACAAACGAAAAAGGCTTTCAATTATTTTCTCTTTTTCTTTTACTTTTATGCAGGTACGGTAAGCAGTGGAAAGAACACAATCTTGCAACATCTTAAAAAAGAGAGCCTGCCGTCGGTTGGTAAGTATGTACAGTAGAATCCTGTTATAACGAGAGGGAGGGGACCGGTACGGAATGTCCGTTATAGCAGGATTCTCGTTGTAAGGGATCCAATAATAAATTCAAAGGAAATAATAAAGTAGGTCTAATCTATGAGTTTGGTGTTCTGTTAATTTTTTTTGGTCATCTCCTCCGATGATGACATTGTTCAACATGACCTCTAGGTCTTTCTTGATAAAAAATTGAATCAGGTTTCCTTCTCTAGCGTTAGCGATGTTGACAGCTCGGCGTTGGCTATCAGTTCTCTAGGCTAACTCGCCCTCTGTGTGGCCCCCCACCCCACCACACCCTGTGGTGCGTTCCCGCGTCTGCTTGCGCACGTCTCACATTTGCTCCATGATCAATCGCAGCACTGTGACCTCTCCATCCCCGCATCGGAGAAGTGAGAGGCATGATAGATATCTAGGCCTAGATAATCTAGACTGGCTGGCCTATCATTATCAGGACTGAGAAAGCCTAGTTATCAGGCAATGCATTCTGCTTCCCAACGGTGTGTCTGCGCGTGCCACACACTCCCCACTCATTCGCTCCGGCCTTCATCGTTGGCATACATGGGCTCTCCCATTCTTTGTTTCGCTTGATAACCAACAAGTTTCTCAACTGGCGAGGTTTTCATGTTTCAATAGCCTATGCGCTGTGCACAGGAGCAGCAATATTCCGCTATAACCGACTCGCGCGTTTATGTGATTGCGCTATAGCAGTATTTTATTTACAAAGATAAAGAACGGAAAAAAAACGGGGTTTTAGAATGATCTCTTAGTAACAGACTTCTCGTTGTTTCAGGACTCGTTATAAGTGGACTCCACTGTAATAGGTCTGTTATATCGTACAAGAAATGTTTATCCGTCTTTTCCTGCAACTTTACTCTTACCTTAATATGTTTGTTGACTTTTCCTGATTAGAGATTTTCAGCTGCTTTTCAAAATGCTGGGTAACGAATATTATACAGGGTGAAAAAAAAAAATTCAACTTTTTCTCAGAATGTCTCGCGCAAAAATTATTTTAGAATGCTGTAATTTGGAACAGACATAATTCATTCAAAAGGAATTTGTTTAACATAAAATTTACGAAGCAGAAACTTATTTTGAAAACGCAACGTTCACAAATTTTAAAAAATCTTGTAAAGGACAGGAAGTCGTTAAAGATTTTTTTCTTTTTTTTCTCTCTTTGCCATTTAGTTTTCCATCCCTGTAACATTTAAACAATATTTAATTTCTTTTACAGTTAATAAAAAACTAACAATTTCATTCTTGAATTTCAAAAAGCAGTGCTCTACATGCCCTCCTTCGGACTCGACACATTTTTAATGCGTCATTCGAAATGTTCGATGGCGCCTAAACATAAGGACCTGCTAAACCATGAGTGTTTAAAGCCACATACACTGTACATATTCAGTGTGAAGTGGCCTCTAGAGGCAGTAGGGAATGGGGTACCCAATAGACAGCAGTTTTAGAATTAACGTATCCCGCAGGGTGAAAATAGGCTTTGCATTAACCCAAATGAAATCGAGGAAATGATCCCGCTTTTCAAGACAACTAATGAATCATGAACACATTGCCATGCTCTGATTTAAGTCATCTCTTCACAGCGAAGATGAAAATGGTACAGTCGTACGTTAAGATGTACCATGAGAATGCAGACTGTTGAGGTGTAGGAAAGTCCTAGCTGCAGATCGTCTATAGACAGACGTCTTATGGGACTCGACTTCTGAAATCTGCACCTTGGTGACGTATAAAGGGCTGTACATGGTGCCTGTTCGACCTGAAGTGAACATTTTTAAAGACATTTTTAGTTCTGATTCTCTGTAGATCCAAACTGACGGAACTTCTCTACTCATGATACCAAAGGTCTCGAGGGCACCTGAGCATTCTTTCCATGCCGTGCGCAGAACTTGTGAAATGTCAGGGATGGTGAATTTGTGGAGGGATAATGTTGAATATTACAAAAAGCTCTCTGCTGTTTACTATACTTAACCATGATCTCAGTAAGCAAATGAAATTTGGGGAAAATACATAGATTCAATCTGCAGACTTCTGAGAACTTGTTAGACTGCTAGCTTGCAATATGGCGCGATTGTTGCAATCTTTAGCTGTAGGGCCAATGCGAACTGGTGGGTCATGCTACGAAAATGGGGACAAGTTTGAAAATGGGTTGCTTTTTTAATGCACCATATAGAGCAAACCCATTCAATGGACTTGTATAAAATGAATATCGGAAAAATTCCTTTTGGCTTCCAAGGCAAAACTTAAGTATGGTGGAAGATATTTTTTACAAAACAAATTGTAGGGGTTTTTTTTGGATCGCCCTGTAGACTAAATTGTCAATGACAAAAGAATTATATACTTTTACTTTACTTTACTTTTACTTTTTCATCCTCTGTTGCCGTTAAGCGTTGAGGGGAGATGCAGTTTTCTATGGTAGGCCAGCTCCGCAGCTCTTTCAGTTGTGATGTTATGTTTTCTTAGTGTTTCCTTGACACCCTCGATCCACCTTTTGCGTGGCCTTCCTCTTCCTTTATAGCCTGAGTGCTTGGTGTTGTAGGCTCTCAAGGCTGGCTGGTCAGGTGGCCAAACCATTTTATCCTCTGTCTTTCTATGTAATGCAGGCAGGACTCAGTGCCGATAGCTGCTCTTACTTCTTCATTTCTCTACCTGTCTCGTCTTGTGATGTTAAGGGTTTTGCGGAGACATTTCATTTCGCATGCAGTGATTTTGCTTTCATGAGTTTTGCTTAAGGTCCAGGTCTGGGGGAGGTGGAAACAGGACAAAGTAGGGGATAGCTGGGTCTGGGTGAAGTACGGTGTGACTTTATATCACTGAGGCGTTACGCTAGCCGTGAAGGCCGACCCGGGTCACCCTGAAACGTTGCTGGCTAAAGGGGCTCTGGTGAAACCGTGACTGGCCTAGCAAGCTGATGGCGGGTAACTACTGCTACGAAAAAATAGAAAAATTAAAAAATCAAAGAATTATATATACAGCATTATTATGACACTTCTTTTTCTCTCTTGGGTATTTTTTGTTGTAGTTATTTTTTTATATTTTTTTTAGTAAATGTTTTACGGCACTCGCAACTGCATAAGGTCATATGAGCATGCCTGACACATAAAGCATGTCAAAGGGATCTTTGACTTACACATAGGACATAGATTTTTTCGCTCTTATTCAAGAAGGCTAAGTGTTAGCTCTTTCCTTACCCTGAGATCAAGGATGTGGCTGAAAGACAGTAGTGAGGAGGAGTAGCAGTAGAAAGGCAGCAGAGTCAGGAGCCCAGAGGAGGGGGTAAAGTATTGGTTGGGGCAGAAAGTGGAGACGAAAGGAGACAAAAGCATGGTTAGAGAGCAGGAATGGAAGTGAAAGGAGAAAATGTTTTTGGAGAAGAACATTTCCTGTGGCTTTCAGGTTTTGAACCTCGGACCTGTTGTATTAGAGGCGAACATCATACCTCTAGACCATGAGAGCCCCCCAAGTCAAATATTCACTCTATGTCCTTAGCTTGCATAATTTGGAAGTTAAAATCTTTTTTAACGTGTTTTTTTTCCCCCTTCATATTTAGGTCTCGATGGAGATACTGTGACTTTAAATGGCATTGCACTGAGCAGCTGGGAATTAGGTGGCAGATCCTCTTTGGTAAGTATCTGACCATGTTGTCAAGCGTGTCATTGTACCTTAACTTTCAGCCTGACACATATTGTTGGTGCAGGGTATTTTATGCTTGGCTGAAGTAGATTTGCTAACAGTCTGGATGCTCCACATATTGGACTAGGTCAAAGATCAGGAACACTAAGCGTAGTGTATATATGATCCGCGCAGTTTACCGATCTGTGCAATCTTCTGCGCGTTTAAGCGATCGTATAATTACGGGTCGATCTGAAGATTGCATAATACAGTCAAACCTGCCCTGACGGCCACCTCTATAAGACGGCCACCTGTACAAACGGCCACTTTCCATTTCCCCCCTTTCATTTTTTCTATATAATTTAACTGTAAAACGGGCACCTGTCCAACGCTGCTGCGGCCACCATATTTTAACACACAACCCCTATCACACTAAGCCTTAGACGGCCACCTTACTGACTCCATTACGTTTTGTTATAAATTGTGCATTGGCCCCTGGCGTTGTGGGTGAGCCGTCATAATCCAATCACTTCGTTGTTGTTAGGTAGCCCCTCCAACCGATCATGTTGCGTAGGCCCCTCCCACTGTTGACCAATAGGTACCAATTTTCAGTTGCTGGTGAGGTAAGCGTGTGATCCCTCATAACCCGTAAGCCCCGCCCAGAACTCATACACAACGTAAGTGAGATGAGTTGTCACTGTTTACCCAGGCTGTAACAAAGTAACAATGGACGTCAATATGAACTTGTGACAGAAGCGTCGCTCGTTCTCCGAGTGGTGGCAACCCATGTGTTTGTTTTAACATGGCACTCAGTCTTCCTTGTCTGATACATTTCGTTTTATTGTCACCCTTGCACAAAATCAGCAACAAAATAAAAGTAACAAGCAAAATACAAACCAACAACACCAACAACAACAAAAACAACAACAATGGGGCTACTTTCGATTGGGACTTCAGATGGGAATGGTTTGTTTTCTTCATCTTGATCAGTCCTGCCTAAGACGGCCACCCGTCTTATACGGCCACTTTTCCCTATGACAATGGATGGCCGTCTTACACAGGTTCGACTGTATATATATTTCATAAATTTTCATTTTCATATTTTTACACTTTTGAAAATACATGTGAATGTTCCTTGATGTGAGTTAAAAAAATAAATAAAGATGGAAATGAATTTTGTTTTGTTTTTGTATTATTAAAAAAATATTAAATAAATTAAATGTAGGGTACTTTGTGAACTTTGCGTTTGATACCTGGCATTGTATCATTCTTGTGAACTTTTCAGTTTTATATGAAAATTTTAATTTTCATATTTGTACACTTTTGAAAATGTATGTGAATGTTCTTTGATGTGAATAAAATAAAAAATAAAAAATTAACGCAATCTTCAGATTGCCGCGCAATTATGCCATCGTTAGAACGCGCAGCGCAATCTTAAGATGGCCGCGCAATCTTAAGATCGTTAAAACGTGCAGCGCATGCGCAGATAGGTCAATTGCGCGAAACACATATCTATTTTGGAAGTCTTTTGCTGTTGTTTTTACCTTTACGTTTGATGATTTTCATTTTGCACGCAAAGTAGGCCTACTTGGTCTCTCGTTAGGTATCACAAATTTACCAGGTTGAAAGTAAAAAGTATTCCACAGAGGACTAAAAAGTTCAGTTTTGGATCTCAGAGTTTCCATGAATTTGTTTGTTAAATTTATTTTATAATCAACATTGTCTCAAGGCTAGTTGTTTTGTTTAGTTTTTTACTGTTTTTTAAATCAAATGTAGTGGAATATTTAAGTACAACCCAACTTATTTTTTAAATTGATCTCATTTGAAACTGTTCAAAAGTGATAGCAGATTAAAAGGGAGATGTGCTTCTCATCTCAAAGATAGATCACCCAACCTAGACATGGTAAAGATTTGACTCATCCCATTGTTCCCAAAGATGCTCCAACATCTGTCCCGTAATTTCACTTTTGGGACATTTAAAGGACATTCTCAACAAAAGGCCAGGAACGCAATACAGGTCAATCCTGGTTGTGGAGAGAAATAATGGCAATGCTTAGTTAGATTTTTGCATTAGCCTACATCTGAAATTTCAATCAATATCAGATGTAAGCAATCATTTTTGGGAACTTGTTTAATTGTTTCTTTTTATCTTTTTATTATATGTAAGATTGTTTACTTCCGTCATTTCCCAGATACAATATGTTTTGTTAAAGTCATAATGAAATTAAAAGAAATGTCTATGTTTTGTTTGACTTTTAGAAACAGTTTTGTTTTTATATTCAGAAACATTTTGATACAAACGAAAAAAAAGTTTTGTATATTCAGTAAACCATTTGGAGAGGCCTTTGCAATAGCCATGTTTGTGTATTTTAGTTTCAAGTCAATAAATGAAAAAGAAATTCCTATTAAAAAAAACCCAACTGATTTGCATAAAATGGGATTTTCATACAAATGTTATGACTTTTTTTCATTTGTTTCTCTCTCAACAGCAATTCTTTTTTCGACTTTACTACAAGGCTGCTCAAGGTATAGTGTTAGTGGTGGACAGTGCTATGCACGAGTACATGGATCATGCATTTGACTACTTCAACTGGCTTATTTTGCAGGTGAGAAATGGTGTCTCTTTCTCCTTTTAGTTTTTACTTAAGTACAGTCGCTGGCTTTGTTCCTGTCTGATAAAAAATATTACCTGTATTTATTGTTAAGATTGTTTAGGTCTTATTTTAGTTGAGGTTTGATCAGTATTCAGCCATGGGTCACATACATACATATTATTTATAATAAGTAGGTTCCTTCAAAAGATGGATGTCCTTGGTTTTGTTGACTGGAGAACAAGATGACAAGAAATTTTCCTTGAAGGTTTAAAGAATTATTGAGTGCATTGATATCATTATTTAAATGAAGTTTGATTAATGACTCCAGTGCTTACCTGAACAAATAGTAAAGGATTTTGATGCCAAGCTTTATGTTTATGAAAGCAAAGGGTATTTCATGTGAAATATTAACCAAGAGGCCACCATTCTCAAGAATTGTTTATTCATATTCACTACTGTAATGGCTCAGTGGTATTTTGGTTCAACAATGTTAATGTAAATTAATGTGAAGGTAAAAGGGAGTCTGTTTTAACATCTCTCTATTTTTTGTTGCTATAACATTTGGAGTGTCTATTATTGAGTTCTACCTTTGGTTTTCAGTATCTCACAGCTTCTAATCGCTCTATTTGCCCAGGGCAGTAAAACTAACTAAAACATCTACCATTCAATTAAATCAAAATCACCCAAAGCCTAGTCTAGATTACTTTTAATAATTTTTTTTTTCAAAGTTTGATTGTCATGTTACACTGTAAATTGTTAAGAATTTGCAATGGAGTACACTTAAACCTCACCAAGTTAGTCCAAAAACAGGGATAAGCTGATAGAAAATAGAATCCCCATTTTTTTTCTTTTACCTTTGTAAGAAAATTATCGATTTGCTGAAATGCTCGTATTTCTGAACTGAAAAGAATACCAAGGATTATACAATGGAACTCGGATCCAATGAACTCAGATTCAACAAAAACTGGGATTCAACCAAAGGAGTTGGATTCCCCATTTAAAAAAATAAAAAATTATAGGCTGTATAAAATTAACTCATAATGAGCAAGCTTAAATTCAAGGAAGTCACTTGCAGGGTGGCAGGGTGAACAGCCTCCGCTGAAGTGCCTTCGTTTGTTTTTCTCCCGCCACGAACCTTACCTGTTCAAAGAAACCATCCATGTCATCTGTATTGTATAGTGAACCATTATTCACTCAGCCTATTTTTTTATATCTTATGTGACCAATCGGCGGTCTTCTTTCATGTCAACACACACATTGTTTGCACACACATATGTCTTAACATGTGTCGGGGGCAGACAGTCTTGACATAGATCTGCGTAATGAATTGCGCGCTGGACTGTGGAATCAAATGTTAACGCATTCTTGGCTCTACACAACAACATAACTTGTTCATCAACTTACACATTATAGAGATGATATATGACACAGGCATGCATTTGAAATAATCAGTCCTTTCTCACAGTGTGTGCTTGGTAGACTTCATCTATGTATTTTCCTGGAATTTTCCAGTATTTCTTCGGTATGACATCAAAGAAACAAAAAATGCCTCTCATTCTCATTGGAAACCAAACTACTTTCGATTAAAAAAGTTGAATACATTGTTATAACTTGCTCAGTGCCTGTAATTATCTACACAAAACCCTCATGTTTGCTATTTATAACAAACATTTGGAGGCCCGACAACTTTTTTAAATCTGAGTTCCACTGTATTCTCTAAATTTTCACCAGCAACTCCTCAAGTAACGCTAATCGTAAAGTCTTACCTGCTTCTAGATAGTGAAACTGAAGACAGTGACATGAGATTGATGAGAATGCGCATGGGACGATTGTGGTCCAGGGAGAGGCGGCATGATTGCCTTTGTTTTGTATGCCTACTTTTGCATACGTTTGTCACATACAGTATATCAATAGACCTAGGCACTGTGGGTAGGCTTAGTGTTGCAGAGATAGCAAAAATGTACATCTGATACACGACCTTTGTTGGTCATAGCTTATCGCCTTTGTGAAGCTATTTCATATTAGCCCTACTCATGAGAATAATATGGCACAAATGTTTCTGGATGTGATTGGCATCATGCCTTCTCACTTCTTTAGTATAGGGCACAGCACACTACAATGTGTAGTATAACAGTATAGTGTGCAGATCTACTATTTTGTCTGTTTTGTGTGACTGCTGAGCAGATTAAGCAAACTGACTTTGTGAAAGAGAACGTACAATGCGTACCGAATACAGCTTGAATTACAGTTACTGAAAGCAGAAGACATGAGAAAAAAAAACTTTCAAAAAGGGAATTTGCCACAAATGTGATACTAAACTCTACGCTGCAGACAATTATCTCTAGTTGAACAATCTCTCTTAACCAAAGGCACGGCTAAACCAAAGAAAATCTGGTGGTCCCACAGATTTCAGTTTAAGCTGAACCCACTGTATTTCCTTTACACAGTAAAATTTTCACATTTTCTCTACAACATGCACTTCAGTGGTCAGTTTTTTTTATCCGTATAGTATAACTGATTTCATAAAAGAAAACACATTTTTGTCCTTTTGTTTACTAACAACTGTTTTGTCAACATCTAGTTGTTCGATCCTAAACTTCTCTGTGCTGTGCTGTGCTGTGGTAGTATTTATGTACTTTTACATAAATCTTTGTGTTTCATGGTCTGTTTTAGGAGGAGGAGACAAAAGGAATGACAGTGATGGTCCTGGCTAACAAGCAAGATTTACCCCAAGCACTGAATTGTGAGGAGGTGGAGAAAAGATTCAGGGAGAAATTCCCAAGCACTCCAGACCACAGTAAGTTGGTATATGTAAATAAGTAAATAAGTAAATAAATATAGGTCATAAGTAAAAATGCGCCAACAGAATTTGAAAATACTATTGTGAGAGATATAAAAATGCACAATGACATGGACAAATTTGACCTCTAAGGCTCCTTGAATAAAAATGATCAAGCACGCAAAGGAATACTACATTATGAGTAAGAATATGTCACCACACAAAGTACACAAAGACACATTTTGGCGTAAGCTGCTATAAGCTGTCCCGGTGGTTTTATGCACCCCGCATAAATTAGAAAAAATATGAACATTTTTTGCATAATTTCTTATTATTTTCCGTTATCATTCTTTGTTAAAATTAACGGAATTGCTTAATTTCATATTTTTGGGCTCAGTTTGCATAATTTCAGAATTTTTCTTGCATAAAACGACGGGGACAGTATTAGGCGTAGTCTTCATTGTTGGGCCTTTATAACCACACAAAATAAAGATTAAAAGTTAAAGAAAGACCGTTTTACACCAAAATACTCGATTTAAAAATGGAAGTACAAACATTTAGAATAGTTTGGCTCCTACTTTATCTGGAAAGGTAGAATCATTACGTTTAGGATAACTTTCCAATTGGAAACTTATTCAAGATGAACTCTTTAGGGATGAAGCAGAAAATGTCCAATCAGCAGCAGACTAAAAAGCTAGGCTGCTGCATATTTCAAACCATTATGAACAAATCAGTAAATGAATTTACATAGTTCATAGTGTGTATGTTGTTGCCTGCCTTTTTAAGTTTCTTATTTTTTTTTAAACTCGGAAACGAAAGATCTGTACCAATTTCAAAGATATGCCCCTTTTTTCATGCATTTAAGTCAGTAACATGCCGGGGAACAAATTCAAATCTAGTATGTCATTGCTATGCAGTGTCCTGTATTTACACTGTGTAAATTCTTTCATTTTTATTCATCTCTTCCCCAGAAATCTTCTTCAAACCCTGTGTTGCAACAACAGGAGAAGGTATCCGTGAAGCCTTTAATGAATTTTCTACCAAACTAAAGCTGGCTGACGCAAATAATCCTGAAGGAGGAAACGTTGAGAAAGGAAAGAAAGAAAAATCGATGAAGTCGTTCTTCAAAAAGCCCATTAGTTTTGTGAAGTCAGTGCTGATGTATTAAATATGCAAGCGTCATATGAAATACAAACCACAACTTTGAACTGGATCTGGAAGATTCATGATTTTATGAGAATAGTATGTCAATATATCTATTTGTGGTGGCCGAATTTTGCTATTCAAAAGGCTTTTCAATGGCTGCATCGATCGACATGTGGTTTTCGCCAAAAGATTCTTTAAAATATTCTCCTGACTATGGCGCCCTTCGTTTTTTAAGTTTTGAGACAGATTTGCTGCAAAAAGTTAAATTTCTTAATTTCGCCGATCGCTTTTGTAGGCCGACGCTTCTGTCTCTGTAATTTTAGAAAACCCGAAAGTGATATTTCGCTAGGCGCATTTTGTTTTGAGAGTATAGATCTAGACCTTATAATGTTTTTGCATCTCTCAGATTTATTGCCCCATTCCAGTTGAGTGTAAATATAGTAGGCCAATGACTTTTAGTTGATATTAAAGCACCGATCGTTCCTTTCATTGAAAGGGGGCCCAGCTAGTAATATATATTATATAATGTACAAACAAATATAAAGCTGACATTACTCTTACTCTGGGTATTTTTGACTTTCTTAGCCTGGTACAAACATGTCAAGCTGTGGACCTGACATAGTAAACTTGACGAGTGCCATAATTACTGAGTTCAGGGAAGGCTAACTGCTTTCCTCCTCTATTGAAAACAAATTGCTCAATTTATGTTCAGTATGGCTTTCTGTTGATGTTAAATCCATATGATATGCCCCCCCCTCCTTTCTCTCTCTCTCTCTCTCTCTCTCTCTCTCTCTCTCTCTCTCTCTCTCTCTCTCTCTCTCTCTCTCTCTCAAACGATTAAGTTAAAAGTACTATACTTACATTTCTTTCAAAAGACTTGAGTATTTTTTCTCTTCTTACAGTCTCGATGTTCCTTCTTTAACAACCTTTAGACTTACATTAAAATACAATTGCTTGCATGTTTTCTGCCAAGCACACTGTGGCCCGTAATATCCTTCAGGAGAAAATATGATTATAGGCTTACCGATTAATTGTTGTGACTGCGTGCACCTTCTTTCATTAACGAGAACGCAGTTGTCCAATTCTTAAATAACAATATTTCGGTAAATTCTTTGATATGGTGAATTCTGGCCACTGTTTTGCAACTGATTTCACAACTACTTAACCAATGACGCCAAACACCGAGAATCGAGTAAGTTTGTGCTCCCAATTACAAGCATTTTGCTTGAACTTCAAGACTTATTTCCTTGCAGTACGGTGTCCCTACGAAATGACTTAAGCTGTGTCTAGAGGGTTATGGGAACTCTTTTAAAGTACGGTATGAAGACTTCAGGTAAAAAAAAACATTGAAATAAAAATAGATTGCATTTATATAGAGCTTAATCTCATACTAGTGCAAGTTTTGACATTAGTCACATGTAACAATTGTGAGGCAGCGTGGTGGAATCAGGCTCTCGTCAAAATAATCAAAGTGAAGAAACTTTCATTTTTCCGCAGGTTTGTGAATTTTTATCAAATTTTTGTTTTTTGGCTGAACACCTTTCATCCTTATTAAAGAACTAATTTCTGTGTGGATTTTTCAGGAAAAACGTTGATTAA